GAAGTTCCAGCCTCAACCCACGGAGGATCTCACGCGGGCTTCATTGGAGATGGCGTGACAGTTCTTGCTGAATACTTAATAAACTCACTCATTCAAAACCGAAAATATGGCTGTCTCTGGACCATGCAGAGCAGTGGTAACGGTGATAGGGCAAGGAGGCAACTCAGGGCAAAGGAACTCAATTGATTTTTGTTCCGGGGCAGGCATGATTCATTTGAGGGCAGGCATGCACATATATGTGGAAGTCCAAGGACAATTGGTGGTCTCCTCTCCCGCCACCACATGGGTCACAATCAGGTTTTGCAGCGATCCCTTTACCGTCTCACCAGCCAACTTTTCTGTTAGGGTCTCATGTAGCCCAGGCTGGCCTCCAACTCTCTTTGTAGCTAAGAATGCTCTCCTGCTCTACCTCTCAGGTGCTGGGATGACAAGCGTGTGTCACCATGCCTGGATCTCTTTGGAGAGAGCATTTTGCTCTTGGTGATGACATAGGAGGCTGAGCAGGTGTGACTCATCTTTGCACATTTTGCAGACCTACCTGGTATTTCACACACTATTCCATTCAGAAACAAACAGGGGAGGCTTGGGCTGAATCCCGTCACTGCACTATCAAGGAGTAAGACTTTTGTTTCCGTTTTTTGTAAGATTTGTTGTATTTCTGGCCAGGAATGGTGGCACACACCTTTAATCCCAGCACTTGAAAGGCAGAGGCAGGGAGATCACTGTGATTGAGGCCAGCCTGGCCTACATAGGGAGTTTGAGGCCAGCTGGGGCTATACAGTAACATTCTGTCTCAGAAACAAACAAACAAAAAAACCACAAAAATTTATATTATTGGGGGGGTGGGTGCTGGAGAGAGAGCTCAGTGGTTAAGAGAATCAACGGCTCTTACAGAGGACCTGGATTTGGTTCTCCACACCCACATGTGACTAACAATTGTCTGTAATGGCAGCTTCCGGGTAGCCAACATTCTCTTCTGGCCTCTGTGGGCACTGCACACATGTGGTGCACTTATATACATGTAGGCAAAACATTGATACACAGTTTTTTAAGATATATTTCATTTTTAAATTCTTAAATTTTTATGTGTATGAATGTTTTGCCCACATATTTGTGAGTGCACCTGTGCATGCAAAGCCCAGAGGTCAGAAGAGGTTCAGATAACCTGGAACTGAAGTTATGGACAATCTGTTATGTTCATGTGCCAGCATGCCATGTGGCTGCTAAGAATTGAATCCAGGTCCTCTGCAAGAGAAATTAGTACTCTTAACTGCTAAGTCACTTCTATAATGCTGATTTATTTTCTTTTTAATTATGTGCATCTCTGTGTTTGTGTATGTGAAAGTGAGTACAGGTGCCCACAGAGGCCACAAGGGTTGTTGGATCCATTGGAGCTGGAGTGGTTATGAACCCCCTGACATAGGTGCTGGAAACTGAACTCAGGTCCTTTGAATAAGTGTTCTTAACTGCCAAATCATCTCTGCAGTCCATAATACCTGCAGTCCAGGTATGCAGCACATACCTGTCATCCCAGCACTGGGGAGGTGGAGGCAAGGGTATCAGTTACCTGGTTATAAGAGTATCTCAACAAACCCAAAAAAATTAAAAATAAAGTTTATTTACTTTATGTTGGGTGTTGGTATATGTGATGTGTGCCACAGTGTGTGTGTGTGTAAAAGTTAAAGGACAACTTTCTGGAGTCAGTTCTCTCCTTCTGTAACGATTGGACTCTCTCTCTGGATGGAGATGCACCCTTGTCTCCTCCTTTAAGGGTTACTCAGGGACCTGGGAACACCCTCGGAAGATGGGTTCACCTTAAGACTGCATTTTTTGCCAGGTGTGGTGGCACACGCCTTTAATCCCAGCACTTGGGAGGCAGAGGCAGGCACATCTCTGAGTTCGAGGCCAGCCTGGTCTACATAGTGAGTTCCAGGACAGCTGGGGCTACAGGGAGACCCTGTCTCAAAAAGACAAAAAAAAAAGACTCTGTTTTTCTTTCCCAGAATTCCTGTCCCAGTGTGGTCTCTGTGAGCTGGGCCACCATTCAGTTCCTGGGTCTGTCTGCCTTTTCTCAGAAAGATGTAATTTTCCTTTTCTTTTTCCTTTGGCCAGCCTAAGTATGTTTTTAAACTCCTTAAAGCTTTGGGCTTCCTTACTTTTTCATCTTTCTTTTCTTTTTGAGACAGGGTCTCCCTGAAGCCCTGACTGGCCTGGAACTTGCTATGTAGACCAGGCTGGCCTCGAACTCACAGAGATCACCTGCCTCTGCCTCTGAGTGCTGGAGTTAAAGATGTGCACCCCCTCACCAGGCCTTTGCTCTTTTTCTAGAGCTACCTCCCCACTGTGTGGCCACCTGCCCCAGGTGACTGTCCTCCAGGCAGCACGGTTTCTGTTCCTTCTCTCTAGTCTCCTCCTCCCCTCCAGGCAGCTTGTCTGCCCTGGGAATTTCCTTTTTCTTTTTAATATTTTATTATTTTTTTATGTCTATGCATGTATTGCCTGCATGTAGGTAAGTGCACCCGTGTCATGCAGTGCCCACAGAGGACAGAAGAGACTGTCGGATCCCCTGGAACTAGAGTTATGGACAATTATTATCTGCCACGTGGGTGCTGGGATTAGAACCCAGGTCTTCTGCACGTACAGTCAGTGTCTTAACCACTGAGCCATCTCTCCAGCCCTGTCCTTTTTTTTATTTTACATGTATGAGTGCTTTGTCTGCATGTATGTAAGTGTACCACATGTGCAATGCCTGTGGAGGCCAAAAGAGGGTGTTGGATCCCCTGCCAACTGTAGTTAAGAGGTGGTTGTTAGCCACCATGTGGACACTGGGAACTGAACCTATTAGTCCTCTGCAAGAGCAGCCAGAGCTCTTAACCACTGAATCAGCTCTCTAGCCCCATGGGGATTTTTCCTTTTAAACTCTAATAAATTGTCCTCAAGCTTCTATTTGTGTCTGTTCCTAATTCTTTTATTTATTTGTTTGTTTGTTTCTTTGGGTAGGACTGAGAGGGTCTCACTATGTAGGCCTGACTGGTCTGGAACTCACTATATAGATGAAGATGGCCTTGAACTCACAGAGATCTACTTACCTTGTCTCCTGAGTGCTGGGATTAAAGGTGTGTGCCACCACACTTGGCCTAATTCTTTTATTAATGAGTAAGAACCCCAAGAGGGGATCCTGCTTTCCAGGGTATCATACAGTGCCTCTATGGGAACTTCAAAACATTTCTTAAATTCTCTCATTGGCAGAGGAGAAAAAGGTTCCTGTAGAGGATCCCAGTTTAGGTCCCAGCAACCACATAGCAGCTCAAAACTGCCTGTAACTCCAACTCCAGAGAATTCTAAGCCCCTTCTGACCTCTAAGTACACCTGTACCCATGTGCGTGCACACACACACACACACATACACACACACAATATGAAAAAATTAAAAATTTTTATATTAAGAAATTAAAATATATTTAAAATGCATTTTTACCACCTTTTATTTCATGAAGTTATTTAAGGAGGTTGGAAAAGAGTACAGTGCTTATGGCCAGATTCCTTGGGTTTCTGGCTTCCAAACTGTGTTCTATACAGGAAGAACCCTTTTCTTTTTTTAAACAGGGTCTCACTATGTAGTCCTGGCTGGCCTTGGAACTCAGAGATTGATTTGCCTCTGCCTCCCAAGTGCTGGGATTAAAGATGTCTGCTGCCAGGCCTGGCCAAAGGAAAATAATTTTAATATGTACGCATTTATTGCCTGCATGTAAGTGCACCGTGACGTGCAATGCCCATGGAGGTCAGAAGAGGCTGTCGGATCCCCTGGGATTGGAGTTATGGACAGTTGTTAGCTGCCATGTGGGTGCTGGGAATCGAACTCAGGTCTTCTGCAAGAATAACCAGTGTTCTTAACGACTAAGCCATCTCTCTAGCCAGGATTTTTTTTTTTTTTTTGTCTTTTTGAGACAGGGTCTCCCTGTAGTCCCAGCTGACCTGAACTCACTATGTAGATCAGGCTAGCCTTGAACTCACAAAGATCTGACTGCCTTTGCCTCCCAAGTGCTGGGACTAAAGGCATGTGCCACCACACCCGGCTAGAACTTTTTTTTTAACGTGTATTGAGTATATTTGCCTGCATGTAGATTAAGGCATTGTTGTGTGTTGGGGGACCCTGTTGCTAAGGTTGTAGTCCTCCATGTCCAGATAGCTCTAAGGGGCTCGGCGCCATGGAAGGACTCCCTTTCTCAGTGGGGCCTCCTGCTCTCTGCCTGACTTATCTGGAAAGTGCCACCAAGCACGGATGCCTGACCTTATTTGGAACATGACCTTTGGCATAGTTACCTGCAATAAAACTGCCCCTAGTTTTTTTCTATATAATTAGGCATTGCCGTATAGTCGGATGATAACATCCCCCTACTAAATAAAGCATACTATGAGCACCTATCAGCTGAGGCTTTGGCTGCTGCCCCCACACTATATTTTCCCTGACCCCCACTGAATAAATGGAGCCATATCCCTGAATCCGGAGCCGTATCCCCGAATCCGGAGCCGTATCCCCAAATCCGGAGCTGTATACCCGAATCCGGAGCCGTATCCCTGAATCCGGAGCCGTATCCCTGAATCTGGAGCTGTATACCTGAATCTGCCTCCCCAGAAAGTCTTTTTCCCTTGTGCTCACTGCCCATCCTGAACCCGTTAGTCACTTCTGCTCCCTTTGTCCTTGTGGACCAGTGGCCAGCAGCCCTCAGCCCTCGAGGGGAGGGAGAGACCCACAGTCGTGCAATGCCTGCAGAGGTCAGAAGAGGATGCCAGATCCCCTGGAACTGAGTTAAGGACAGTTGTTGGCCACCATGTGGGAGCCAAACCCAGCTCTAAACCGCTGAGCCATCTCTGCAGCCCCCAAGGGAAACTTCTTGATGCACTGGGGTCACAGAGGTCTAGGGGTCAGGAGAGGACGTGAGGAACACCACCAAGAGCATGGAAATATTTTTCAGAAACTGGACAAATGAGCATGTGGATGCGCGAGCTTTCAGTGATGTATTAAAGTGGAACCGAGGCTCTCAGCATCTGCATCGGGGGTGGGGATGACTACAGCTCGCCCTGTTTGTGGACTCTGCTGAAATGGTTGGCCTTCCTGTGAAACTTCCCTGCCATCATCTCCTTCTCATCTTCCTCACGGGCTTTCTTCACTTCTTCCTTGGCCTGTATGGCATCCATCTCCCTTTCTGGACCCTGAAGAAAGAGACAGAAAAAAAGGCTGGGGTGGGGGCTCATTTGGTAGAGTGCTTGAGCTCAGTAGGTACAACTTGAGAGGCAGAGTCAGGAGGTACAGGGTGAATTCAAAGTCAGCAGAAGCTACATTATCAAGATTCTCAAAAAAGCTAAAGGGCTGGAGAGATGGCTCAGCATTTAAGAGTGTTTGCTGTTCTTACAGACGACCCAGGCTCAGGAGCTGAAGAAATGCTCAGCAGTTAAAAACACTTGTTCTTCCAGAGGACCTGGGTTCGATTCCTAGCACCCACATGGCATCTAATGACCATCTGTAACTCCAGTTCCAGGGGATCTGACATCCTCTTCTGGACTCTGTGGGGCATTGCACATATGTGGTGCACTTACATACATGAAAGCAAAACACTCGTATACTTAAAATAAAAATAATAAATAAAATATTTTAAAAATGTGACCCAGGCTCAGTTCCTAGCACTCAGTCAGGTGATTCATAACCACCTGTAACTCCAGTTCAAGGGGATCCAATGCTATCTCCTGACCACTGCAGGCACTGCACACATGTGCATAGACTCACACAGAGAGACACATATACATACACATTTTTGGACTTTTTGAGACAGGGTCTCCCTGTAGCCCCAGCTGTCCTGGAACTCACTATGTAGACCAGGCTGGCCTTGAACTCACAGAGATCTGCCTACCTCTGCCTCCAAAGTGCTGGGATTAAAGGTATGCGCCACCACATCCGGCATAAATTTGTTTTTATTTTATGTGTATGAGTGTTATGCCTGCATGTGTTGAAGTGAACCTGTGTCATCCAATGCCTGTGGAGGACAGAAGAGGGCGTTGCATCCCCTGGAACTGGAGTTACAGACAGTTGTTTTAGATGGATAGATGATAGATAGATAGATGATAGATGACAGATAACATATAAATATATATAGAGAGAGAAAGAAATTAGCTCATATAGATAGATAGATAGATAGATAGATAGATAGATAGATAGATAGATAGAAACACAGAGGGTTTGGTACAACTCACACTTTCAGACATTTGAGCAACATCTTGAAATCTACCCCAAAATAATAAGGAGCCACCATCTAAGAGTGCATAGAATATCCTTATGCATACAACCCCAAACTAAATACAACCAAAGCCATACTAACAGAGTATTGCATAAACATTCTTTAATACTCACAAAGGAAGAGTGAGGTACTCCAGGACTGGGAGGAATGACTTCTAGAACACTATTTCGTAAGCAAGCTTACTAGGCCTTGGGCTCCTCTTGTAACCTAAACATATGACTTTAATCCCTCATGATCCTTCCTTTCCCCTGACCAAGAACAATGTGTGTGTGTGTGTGTGTGTGTGTGTGTGTGTGTGTGTGGTGTATTATAGATATAACAGCACTAAAAGCATTGAATATTGTTGGAAGCAATGAATTATCCCATTTGTGCTGCAAACAATAGGTGGGATTAGATTGATAACATCTGTTTGTGGTTCTGTGTGCTATTCTGAGTCGCAGGGGTCAGAAAGGGGAAAATCCCCGGATAAGACAGGTTCCTTACTCTTTCCCCATTAAAAAAAAATTGTTATTTTTTATTTTATGTGTATGCATGTATTGCCTGCATGTAGGTAAGTGCACCCGTGTTGTGCAATACCTGAGGAGGCCAGAAGAGGCTGTCAGGTTCCCTGGGACTGGAGTTACAGACAGTTGTTGGCTGCCATGTGGGTGCTGGGATTCAAACCTGGGTCTTCTGCAAGAACTGTCAGTGTTCTTAACCGCTGAGCCATCTCTCCAGCCCCTCTTGCCCCATTTTATGCTGGATATATGGTTTCAATAAATAGAGAGCAAGGCCTTTGTTCAAAAACAGTGAGAGAACTCAGAAGGAACAAGTCCTCAGAACGGATCTGGCTGACTCCTGGATCCAACTGATACCAAGGGGTCAGGCTGTTTTTGTTCAGGCACAGCCATAATCTCAGCTGGAGAGATGATTTGGGGGTAAAAGCATTTGCTGTATGAGTATGAGGACCTGAGTTCAAATCTCCAGGACCCACACTAAAAACCCAGGCATGGCTGTGACATGCTTATATTCTGAGTGCTGTAGAGGGTGGACACAAGAGGATCACAGGATCTCAAGAGACTAAGGTAGAACACACACATAAATTTCAAAAGAATGAGGTGTTAACACAGGCACTAGTAGAAAGACTCACAACACTGAAAACGTTGGAGAGCTGGAGAGCTGGTGCAGAAGTTGACAGCACTTGCTTCTCTTACAGAGGACAAAGGTTCTGTTTCCAACATGTGCATCAGGCAGTTCAGAACTGCTTATAACTCCAAGGGAATCCAGTGCCCTCTTCTGGAATCCAAGGGCACTGAATTGGTCTTTTTAAGTCAGGTAGCCCCAGCTGGCCTGGAACTCACTATGTAGACCAAGACGGCCTTGAACTCACAGAGATCCATCTGCCTGCCTCTGCCTCCCAAGTGCTGGGACTACAGGTGTGCACCACCACACCCAGCCAAATAATAAATAGTAAAAATAAATAAATACTTGGGGCTCCCACTCTGACTTGTGTAAGTAACCTCTAAAGCTGATGTGTTGAAGAGGCTTGGTCCCCAGCTCAGTGCTACTTTGAGGTGTTAGCACTGGCTGCTATTAACTGAAGATGACCTTGGTTGGTTCCATTCCCAGCACCCACATGGCAGCTAACACCTGTCTGTAACTGCAGTTCCAGGAGATCCGATGCCCTCTTCTGACCTCTGTGGGCGTTGCATGACACAGGTGCACTTATGTGCAGGCAATATACTCATACACATAAAATAAAAATAAAAAAAAATATTTTTTTAAAAAACGAAACATTCAAAGGCCAGGTGTAATCACTCAAGCCTTTAATCCCAGCACTTGGGAGGCAGAGGCAGGAGGATCTCTGTGAGTTTAAGGCCAGCCTGATCTACATAATGAGTGCCAGGCCACCAGCTGGGGCTACAGGGAGACCCTGTCTCAAAAAAACAAAAAACAAAAAACTTAAAACATTCTACAAAGGCTGATCAGCTGATTAGAACTTCAGTGACTGTGGAGAGTTAGGACTACTGCAGGTCCAGAGCCTATTACCATTTATCTTGGACCATGTTTAGCCCCTAAATACCTACTCCTTGCCCGCCTTTGTTTCCGGCTTAACATCCTGTGACTAACAGATTAAAAACCTTTTGGAATGTATTATCTTAGCACACCACCAGTTTCAACCAACCAAAGACTGAGAGTCATCAGTCAGCATCTGAGACCTGTAGCTGAGATTTCTCTTTTGCTGTATCTGCCTACTCAATGTTTCCACCAATGTGTCTGAAGTGTCTTCATTTGTGACTTTTCTTTGTTCTGTTACTATAAAAACTTCCTGAAACTGCTTCCACGCTAGAATATGGAATTTGGGGTAACCTGAATCTGTGTTCCCACGGTCACATTTGGCTCCAAAACAAACTCTTATTCCCTTTGAGGTGAGAGTTGTGCTTTTGTGTTGACAGATCCCAGCACTCAGAGGCTGAGGAAGGAGGGTTGTGACCCAAGTACACTGGAGATGCCAGGACTGTGGGATGGCCACCAGGGACAGTGGCAAGTGTGGCATGAATCCAGCTTGAGCCTGGGAAGCAACCTGCTATGGACGACAGTCAGAGAAGTGTAGCTGCCCAGGCCCTCTGGAGCCCAGAAGATTGTGAGATTTTTGCTTAAGTGTGGCATGGTTCTTTCCTCTTGAAATAAAACGGAATGTAACTTGTTTTGGATCTTACAGGAGTCCACAGTTAAGAGACTTCAATTCAAGACTTTGAACTTTTAGTGTCTGAATTTTATTTATTTATTTTTGTTGTTTTTTAAGACAGGGTCTCCCTGTAGTGGAGCTGGCCTGGAACTCACTATGTAGACCAGGCTAGTCTTGAACTTACAGAGATCCACCTGCCTCTACCTCATGAGTGCTGGGATTAAAGGTGTGCACCACCACATCTGGCATGTTTGAATTTTTTAAAGATTGTAAGACTTTTTTTTTTTTGTCTTTTTGAGACAGGGTCTTGCTGTAGCCCCAGCTGTCCTGGAACTCACTATGTAGACCAGGCTTCCCTTGAACTCACAAACATCCACCTACCTCTGCCTCCCAAGTGCTGGGACTAAAGCATGTGTACTGACCCGGCACAAAACAAATCTTTTTTAAAAGAAAGAAAAAGTGAGTAAAGGCACTTGCCATTCAAGCCTGATGACCTGAGTTTGATCCCTAGGATTCACAGAAAGCCACATGCAGTGGTGTACATCTATAATTTTGGTACTCCCATGGCACATTGGGAGATGGAGACAGAACTGTCGGAAGCAGGTGCGCCAGCTAGCTGGAGTGTACAGTGTGGCAGAAACAGGACAGACTCTGCCTCAGCAAGGTGGGAGGAGAAAACTGACCTGCTAATTGTCCTCTGACCTCTACACATGAATTGTAGCATGTGTGCACACACATACACACACACACGCACACACACACATACACACACACAGAGAAATTAATAATAAGGAAATTTTTTTGTATTTTTGAGACAGGCTCTCCCTGTAGCCCCAGCTGGCCTGGAACCCACTATGTAGACCAGGCTGACCTTGAAATCACAGAGATCTGCCTGCCTCTGCCTCCTGAGTGCTGTAATGAAGACATTTTTAAGCAGTGGGGCCTGATGGGAGGTTGTTGTCATTGGGGACTGTCCTAATGGACATTGAGGGACACTGGAGTCTTTTCTGCTCGCTGGCTTGCTAAGAGGTGAGCAGCTTTGCTCTGCCACATGTCCCCACTGTGATGAACCACCCTGAGACAAAGCAAAGGATAGAAGAAATCTCCAAAACCATGAGCTCATTCAACCCAAAATTTTTAAAATTATTTTAATTACTTTTAATTATGTGTGTATGTGTCACTTGTGTGCAATGCCTGTGGAATCAGAAGAGGGCGTTGGATCCCCTGGAACTGGAGTTGTAGATGGTTGTTAGCCACCATGTGGGTGCTAGAAACTGCTGGGTCCTCTGCAGGAACAGCCAGTGCTCTTAACTGCTGAGCCAGCTCTCAGCCCCAGCTTTTCTTTTTCTTTTATTTTTTAAATTTTATTTATTATTTTAATTTTATGTATATGTGTGTATTGCCTGCATGTAGGTAAATGCACCTGTGTCGTGCAATGCCTGAGGAGGTCAGAAGAGGCTGTCAGATCCCCTAGGGCTCGAGTTATAGACTGTTGTTAGCTGCCATGTGGGTGCTGGGATTCGAACCCGGATCTTCTGCAAGAACAATCAGTGTTCTTAACTGCTGAGCCATCTCTCCAGCCCCTAGCTTTTCTTTTTAGATCATGGTTGTCTCAGTGACAGGAAGCTGATGAGCACAGCTACATTTTCATGAATTTCAGACACTGGACAAGTTTGTTTGTGATGACTGTGGTGACTGTCAACTTGACAGGATTTTGAATTGACAGGCCTCTGGGCACAGCTGTGAGGGAGTTTCTAGACTGGGTTAACTGAGGTGGAAAGACCCACCCTGAATGTAGGGGCACCGTCCCATGGGGTCCTGACTGAACACAAAGGAAAACGTGAGCAGAGCGCCAGCACCCATCTCTCTGCCTCCTGACTATGGATGTGATGTGACCAGCCACCCCCACTCCCGCCACCATGACTTCCTCATCATGATGGACTGATTCTCCAACTCTGAGTCAGAACAAACCTTTCCCTCCTATGTTGCTTCTGTCAGGTACTTTATCACAGTGACAGGAAATTAACTAAGACAGGAATGCAACAGTATTTGTTTTGGGGGAGAGTGCTGACTGGCAGGGATGAATGGAGGCTTCCAGAATATTGGCATGGTGGCGTATTTTAAGCAGGGTGGCATATAAAAACTTCATCAAGCCCACGCCTAGGCTTCAGGATGAAACTTATAAAGCTAAATGAAAGATAAGAGGAAGGGTAAGTGAAGCTAGGCATGGTTGCACACACCTGTCATCCCAGCACTGGGGAGGCAGAGGAGGAAGGCTCAGGAGTTCTAGGTCAGTCTCAGCTACATAGCAGGTTTGAAGCCAGCCTGAGCTATATGAGACCTTGTCAAAAAAGAAAGACAGGGCTGGAGAGATGACTCAGGGGTTAGGAGCACTGGCTGCTCTTGAAGAGGACCTGGATTCAGTTCCCAGGACCCACATGGTGACTAACAACCATCTACAACTCCAGTTCCAGGGGCTCCACTCCCTCTTCTGGCCTCCACAGGCATTGCACACATGGTACACTTACATAGATGCAAGCAAAACACTCATAGACATCAAATAGAATTTTTTTTTAAACAAAACAGAGATGGTGGCACACACCTTTAATCCCAGCACTCGGGAGGCAGAGGCAGGTGGATCTCTCTGAGTTCAAGGTCAGCCTGATATATATATAGAGAGTTCCAGATCAGCTAGGGCTACAGGGAGACTCTGTCTCAAAAAGAAAAGAAAAAAAGAAAAGAAAGAGAGAGACTAATCAGATGACTGCATACCTTGGTTTCCCCCCAAGTGGCCTTGCCAAACTTCTCTGCATACTCTTCATCATCTGTGATGAGGAAGTTATCAAAAATGGTTCCAGATCTCACCTGTGGATGGAGGCAGACCACCGTTGCTGATTGAGACATGCAGCAACCTTTCATACACTTAGCCATGCTTAGTCAGCATAACAGTGACCAGCTGCAAATGCTGATGAAGCCTGTTTCTAGGATGGTAAGCCACACTCCATCTGGGGCTCAGGGGACTAATCACATGTCCTTAGCATGCGGAAGGGCCTGGCCTCCATCACTAGCACCAGTTTGTGGGTAGTGGGCATCACCTAGGAGCTAGCCAGGATGGTCCCACCCCAATATATACCATGGCTGATGGGAGCTCCAAGCAGGTAAGTGCTAACCCTGGGAAAGGAACTCCAACGGAGGCAAGAATATCGGACCCAGAGCTATTAAAACAATGCAAACTCAAAGCCACATCACCTGCCACAGCTCCAGGCCGATGGCACCAATATTCTCGAACTCGGAGAGGTCATACTGCATCAGGTAGCTGGTATGCTTCATCTTCTGGTGGAGCCACACATCCTTGTTGATGGCCTCAGCTTTCAGGCCATCCTGCAAAAGCAGATGCAGAGGCTGGGACCCTGTAATGGCAGGGTGGGACAGAGACAGAGGCTTTCCCAGGGGTCTCATGTCGCACCTGGTAGGGTGGCTTCTGCAGCCAGTCCCCATCCAGCTCGCTGTTCCAATCACTGGGCTTGCTGCTGCCTGCGTCCAGAAAGTGCTTCTCCCAGTCCTTCCAAGACAGAAAGCAAGGGGATTGTGGAGGCTCCATGAGAAAAGGGAAATGCTTTTTAAAAACAGTTTTATTAGGTTTATTTATTGTGTGTGTGCACACAGGGCACATGTGGAGTCAGAGGAGAACTTGCAGAAGTTAGTTCTCTCCTTCCATCATGTGGGTCTTAGGGATCAAACTCAGGTCATCAGGCTTGGAAGCAATCACCTTTACCCACTGAGCCATCTCTTCATGCCAAAAAATCTTTTGGTGCATGTAGGGGTGGAACCCAGGAAGTGTGTATGCTCAGTGGGGGTAGGAACAGAACCCAGATTGCCTTGTGTGCTTGGGGCACTGCATCCAGATGGGAAATTCTTAGGCAGGTGGGGACCTGCCTAACTCTGTCACAACGTCTCTTCCTCTTCAGTTTAGTGGTCTAAAGCTGTTGGACTGGATCCCAGCAAGTGCTTGGGGAGAGGACACTGTCTGCTTGCTGTGGTGGTTTTGAGGGTTCTTTCCTCTGTGTGTTTTACCTAATGGAGTGGGGGAAGGACAAGAAAAAGGAGAGGAATGCAGGGGGGCTGTACCTGTGTCAAAGACTCTACAAGGCCAAATGGCTGAACTTCAAGATTATGGAGAGTTAAAATTATCAAATTATCAGGGCTGGAGAGATGGCTCAGCGGTTAAGAGTGCTGACTGCTCTTCCAGAGGACCCAGGTTCAGTTCCCAGCACCCACATCGTGGCTAACCAGTTAACTCCAGTTCCAGGTGATCCAATGCCCTCTTCCGGCCTCCACAGGTATTGCACACATACATGCAGGCAAACACTCAAACACATAGAATAAAAATAAGTAAATTAAAACTTTTTTTCTCGGGGCTAGAGAGATGGCTCAGTGGTTAAGAGCACTGACTTTTCTTGCAGAAGTCCCAGGTTTGATTCCCAGCACCCACATGATGGCTAACAACCATCTGTAACTCCAGTTCCAGGGGAATCCGATGCCTTCTTCTGACCTCCATAGGCATTGCACGACACGGGTGCACTTACGCACATGCAGGTAATACACTCATACACATAAAATAAAAATAATAAATAAAAGCCGGGCATGGTGGTGCATGCCTTTAATCCCAGCACTCGGGAGGCAGAGACAGGCAGATCTCTGTGAGTTTGAGGCCAGCCTGGTCTACATAGTGAGTTCCAGGACAGCTGGAGTACAAGGAGATCCTGTCTCAAAAAGACAAAAATAAATAAATAATAATAATAGTAAATAATTTTTAAAACCCTTTTTCTCTCTGTCAGGCATGATGGCCCAGGCTTTTAGTCCCAGCACTCGGAAGGCAGAGGCAGGCAGATCTCTGTGAAATTGAGGCCAGCCTGGTCTACATAGGCTGTGGCTATAGGGAGACCCTGTCTCAAAATTTTTTTTCTTAAATTATCAAAGTGAGCTGTTTCTACTCCCTGTAAAAGTTACCCAGTACCGCCTGTATCTGACTAACACCCTTGTGACTATCAAACTCTACAGTATTCTTAGCTGATCACCAGTTTCTACCAAATCCCCAAGCTAAGAATGTCAGATGGCACGTGAAGCCTACAGTGGAAGTCCCAGTCTGTGACCCATCTCCATGTACTTGATAAATAATTTGTGACTTTGTTCAGTAGCTAATAAATCTCATGGTGGAACATGGTGTTTGGGGAAACCTGAATCTGTGCTCCTGGGCCATGGTCACTCACACTTGGCTCCAGAATAAATTCTCTCTTACTCCCTTTGAGGTAAAAGCTGTTTCTGTGTCGCACTGCTAAGTGGCTTGGAAAACCCATAGTCCCAGGTACAGGTTGGGTGATGGTAAGAAAAGAGCTGCATGCATCTGAATGCCAGTGGAGGTATATCTGTCTTCCATGCCACAGTGATACATGAACTGTTCTAGGCAGATACAGGACAACTGTTAAAGTGCTCAAGATTTACCTTGGGCTATTGGGCAGCAGGAAGAGATCATGACAACCCTGCCGGTGCACCCCTGTCCTCTCAGCACTCAGGAGGTAGAGCAGAAAGATCAGGAGTCCCAGGCCAGCCTCAGCTATGGAGTGATGGAGTGAGTTTGAGGCTAGGCTGCGCTACAGGAGACACTGCCTCAAAAAAAAAAACAAAAAACTCAAAGCAAGGCTGGACATAGTGGTACATACACACCTTTAATCCCAGCACTCAGAAAGCAGAGGCAGGTGGATCTCTGTGAGTTCAAGGCCAGCCTGGTCTACCTAGTGTGTTCCAGGCCAGCTGGGGTTACAGGGAGACCCTGTCTCAAAAAGGAAAAAAAAATCCAAAACACCAAAGCATTTTGGTTGAGCCCTGTTTCTGTACCCATCTGTGCTGGATAGCTTTAGTGTCAACTTGACACACCTGGGTTGAGGGAGCCTCAATTGGGGAATTGCCTCCATTGGACTGGCCTGTGACCATGTCTGTGAGACATTTTCTTGATTGTTGAGTGATGTGGGAAGGCCCAGCCCACTGTGGGTGGTGCCACCCATGGGCAGGTGGGCCTGTGTTGGATAAGACAGCAAGCTGAGCAGGGGCCAGGGGAGCAAGCCAGTAAGCAGCGTTCCTCCATGGTCTGTGCTCCAGCTCCTGCTTCCAGGTTCCTGCCCTGAGTTCCTACCTTGGTTCCCTGATGAACTGCATGCGACCTGGGAGATGTAAGCTGAATAAACCCTTTCCTCCCCAAGTTGGTAGTGGTCAGAGTGTTTTGTCACAGCAATGGACAAGCAAACTAGAACACCATCAAACTGCCCTGGTGAGTGGGTCCCCAAAAGTCATGTGTTGAAATCTTAACCCCTAATGACAATATGAGGAGGCAGAGAGTCTTTGGAAGATGCTAAAGTTTGGACAGAGGCAATGTGCTATGGGCTTGATCCCCAGTCTGTGCACTATTGGGAGGTGGTAAGACCTTTAAAGAGCAGTATGCCCTAGTGGGAGCGTATCCCTGAAGGAGACAGTAAGACTCCAGCCATTTCCTGTGTGTGTGTGTGTGTGTGTGTGTGTGTGTGTGTGTGCAGGTGCCAGTGGAGGCCAGAAGAGTGTGTTGGAGTCACAGGAGGTTGTGAGCTACCTGATGTGGTGCTGGGAACTGAACTTGGATCCTCTGGAAGAACAGCAAGTGCTCTTAACCACTGAGCTATCTCTCCAGCTCAGTAATTTTTAATGAATAATTTCTAATACAAAGATTATGGAATGCACTGTCTTTTTGTAGTTAGGGAGGGGTGGCTCAGTGGTATAGCATGTGTTTAGGGTATTGTGGGGTCCTGGAGTGATGGTTAATACTGTCACCTGGCCCAGGATGGAGAATCACTGACAGGCCTCTGGACAAGCCCTTGAGGGATTTTCTGGATTAGGTTAATTGAAGTGGGAAGGCTACCCTAAGGGTAGGTGGTCCCATTCCACCATTTGGGGTCCTAGAATGAATAAAAGTGGGCTAGCGAACGGCTCACTGGGTAAGGGTGGTTGTTGCCAAGCTGAGGACCTGAATTCAACCCCAGAAGCACACAACGGAAGGAGGAAACTAACTCCTGAAAGTTTCCCTCCTACATCCACAAGGCACTGTGGCATACACGTGTCCGCACTCACATACAGATGCACAATAATAATTAAGGCTGGGCGTGGTCCCACACCCCTTTAGTCCCAGCACTTGGGAGGCAGAGGCAGGCAGATCTCTGTGAAATTGAGGTCAGCCTGGTCTACATATCGAGTGTCAGGTCAGCCAGGGCTGCATAGTGAGACCCTGTGTCAGAAGGAAGCAGATAAGCCAAGAGCTGGTCTGGAGTGTGAGGTCAGGGAGGGCAGCAGCTGGCTGTCATATCATTGGCACACATGCAGGAGCACACGGCTAGGCCTTGGGAAGCACTCTCCCACCACCTACACGGCAGCCGGGGCTGGCTAGGACACATGTGTACCTGGGCTTTGCCACCTTCTGTCTGACCCCAGTCTTGAGACTCTGCCGAGTTCTTTTCCATTTTCTTCAGGGACGTCAAATTCCAGTCATACTCAATACTCCCAGATTCAATGGACTGGCCATCAACTTTCACGTCATAAGAAAGATCTGGCCTTAAGATGAGGGTGTAGAGGTGGGTGAAGCCATCAACCTGCACAGGTTAAAAGGGGCAAGGAGTCACTGGAAAGTGCTTCCTACTTCATTGTATGTCTACATATACAGCTTAAAACTGGTACAGGGCAAGCGAGGTAGCTCAAGTGAAGGTACCTGCCGCCAAGCCTAACCACCTGAGTTAGATTCCCCAGGACCTACATGGTGGAAGGAGAGAACCTACTCCCACAAGATGTCCTCTGATCTACACACACACACACACACACACACACACACAGAGACTACACACATAAAACAGGCACCAGAACTAAGTGTAGTGACACAGGCCTGTTGCTCCCAGCACTTGGGAGGCTGAGGCAGAAAGATCATGAGTTCCTGACCAGCCTGGGCTACAGAGCAAGACCCTGTCTCAAAAAACAAACTAATGAACTGGGTATGGTAGCTCACACCTGTCATCTCAGCACTTGAAAGGTACAGGCTGGAAGCTCAGAAGTTCAAGGTCATTCTCAGCTACATAAAGAATTTGAGGCCAGCCTGGGCTACAATGAGACCCCATCTCAAAAAACAAACAAAAACAAAACCATCACCAACAAAGGGGTGTTTGCCTAGACAAGCCTCAAAGGCATGGTTCTGACATTTGAGCTGACCATTTACAAACTCATTAGAAAAGGGCAGGGGGTGAGGGCACAAACCTGTCACCCAGCACTCTGGAGGTGGAGACAGGAAGATCTCAAGGCAATTCTCAGTTGTGTGGAGAGTTTGAGGCAGCCTGGGCTCCATGAGACCCCCATCTCAAACAAACAAACAAACCCCAAGGAGACCCATCCATTCACAAGGGCATCATCCTCTGATAACTAGTTCTAGAATGATGTTAAACTTCCACAGCAAGTCTCAGTCTTGTGTTCACTGAGCCTGAGGCTTGTTGGCTAACATGCCTTTGTCATACCCCCGGCCCCAGCCTCACATTTGACCTCAGCTTTCACTGGGCTTTTAAAGAATCATGTTTAAATGCTACACATTTGAGATATAAATTTTCTGCCTGTCTCAGCTGAGAGTTGTGGGGCAGATTTAAGGGGCTGGAATGATGGCCCAGCAGTTCAGAGTACTCACTGCTCTTGCAGAGGACCTGGGTTTAGCTCCCAGTCCTACTGCAGGTGGTTCAGGGGGTCTGAAGCCCTCTTCTGGCCTCTGAGAGCACCTGTACACACATGTGCACACACACACACACAAACAATAAAATGAATCTTAAGAAAAATAAAAATAGCCAGGCATGGTGACACATGCCTTTAATCCTAACATTCAGGAGGCAAAGGCAGAGGGATCTCTGTAGTGATTTCAAGGCCAACCTGGTCTATATAGGGAGGCCAGCCAGGGCTACCCTGTCTCAAAAAAACAAAAACAAAAACAAAAACAAAAACAAAAACAAAATCAGAGAGAGAGAGACACTGATTAAGGCTTGCTGAGAGCTATGAAGAGAAAGTAATCAGATAAGATCAACAGTCTGAAAAACTGACATTATAAGTCTAATGAAAGCTTTAAAATCTGTGCCAGTGAGATGATTCATCAGATAAAGGCATTTGTTGCCAAGATTGATCTGAATTCTATCACCAGGACCCCATGGTAGAAGGAGAGAACAGAACCAACTCAGCAAGTTGTCCTCTGACCTACACACACACACACACACACACACACACACACACACACACAATAAATAAATAATAAATAAATAAATAAACAAATAAACGAATAAGTAAATAAATATAATTTTAAAATTTTAAAGTATTTCAGTTGGGCATGGTAATGCACGCCTTGAGTCCCAGCACTTGGGAGGCAGAGACAGGCAGATCTCTGTGAGTTCAAGGCCAGCCTGGTCTACATAGTGAGTTCCAGGACAGCTGACGCTACAGGGAGACCCTGTCTCAAAAAGACCAAAAAAATTTTTAAGTGTTTTAAATTATGTTTATGGGTGTGTGTCTGGGTGAACCCATGCTGTGTATGCAGTACCCCTGGAGGCCAGAAGAGAGCATCAGATCCCCTGTAGCTGAAGTTACATTTGTGGGTTGCACAATGTGGGTGTCAGGAACCTAACCCGGGTTCTCTGCAAGAGCAGTAAGTGCTCTTAACCGCTGAGCCATTTCTCCAGCCTCATGAAAAAATTTTAAAAAGAAAGTGCATACCCCAGTGGGATAGAAGACCTCTTTGAATGGTATTAGAAGGGAAGATGTGGGGCTGGAGAGATGGCTCAGTGGTTAAGAACACTGGTTGTTCTTACAGAAAACCTGGGTTCAAATCCCAGCATCCACATGGCAGCTCGCAACTGTCCGAAACTCCAGTCCCACGGGATCCGAGAGCCTCTTCTGACCTCCAAGGGCATTGCACAACATGGGTACACTTACCTACATGCAGGCAATATACTCATACACATGAAATAAAAAAAATAAATTAAAAAATATGTTGAAGTTTCCTTTTCCTGTGTATGTATGTGTGCATATAGTGCACATGCAGACATGTCATATGTATGTTCACATGTGTGCAGAGGCGTGTGTGTGTGTGCATGTGGAGGCCAGGGGTTGGCATTGGATATGGGGGTCTCACTGCTTTGACTAGTTTGTAGCCAGTTCACTCTAGGACCCTGTCTCCTCTCCTATGCTGGATTACAGTGGCCACCACACCTCCCAGGCTCTGTGGTGCAGGATCTAATTCCGCTCCTCACACTTGCACAGATGGACTCGCTGAGCCATCTCCCCAGCTCCCCACTGCCATGTTTCTGCCCTGTTCTCCTCTTAAAAGAAATCCCTTACCCTATGGTACAGTGTGGACCTCATATTCAGTCTCTAACATTCCATAACAAAAACTGGTTGGCAAGGAGCTGTGTCTTATAGTCCTTGGCTCAGTTACTGGCCATCTTTATGTGACCCTGGCAGACATTGACCCTCAGAGCCCTGGCAGATGCTGAGCACAGTCATCCTACCTCCTGAGTCACAAAAGCCTCTCACATGGGATTGTTTTAGAACTAAAGTGGGATCCACTCAAAGACCTTCAAAATCATCCTGGGCAAACACCACAATGTAGGTTTCAACAGGAGTAGTCCTATCAGTGAAGGTCTATGCTGGCCAGATTCTGCAGGGGTCTCACTCCATGAGGCCAGTAAAGTGAGAGGCCTCCCTGTCCCCCAGGATCCCAGCTCAAAACTCAAATCATTGCCGTATTCACAGAGTAAGAAACTGGGGGACAATAAATCTATATTTATGTCTGTACTCATCTATCTATCATCTGTCTATCATCATCTATCTATCTATCATCATCTATCTATCATCATCATCTATCTACCTACCTACGTACTTATCATCTATCTATGAGCATAACAAAAACACAGGAAAAGTCTTGGGGACAAGAAAAGAGGGAGATGTCCCTCACCAGCTGAGAAGTAAAAATTTCTGCAGGATCACCAACAGTTTCTCCCTCCCTGCTGTAAACCTGCCATTTTCTAAGACTCTCACCAGGAACCCCATTTACAGGGAAAGGTCGAGCACTTAACTGCTGTGCAGCCCTGGCAGCTCCTGGTTTCACTTCATCAGATTATAACTCCATTAAGGGCATCTCCTCAGCCACCACAGAATCTTATCAAAAAAGATTAAAAATGTTTCTTAACAACCTTTCAAGTTGCCAAGTTGTCATATGAGAGCTACCAAAAGGTTCTGTCTGTACAACCAAAGCTGAGACATTTCACTGCCCCTCTCCCTAGAAGAGCCTGACCCACACTTGGGTGTGTCTTACTTTGTGAAACTCTCTGAGAAGCCCACCCCCATACTCTCAGGAGTGTCATATTTTAATTTGAGTGCTTCTCTTTCTCTTAATCCCTGTACTTAAACTATATTAAAATATCTTTAAGGCCGGGCATGGTGGCACACGCTTTTAGTCCCAGCACTTGGGAGGCAGAGACAGGTGGATCTCTGTGAGTTCGAGACCAGCCTAGTCTACATAGCAAGTTCTAGGCCAGCTGTGGCTACAAGGAAACCCTGTCTCAAAAAGACCAAAAAAATTACAATATATTTTTAATAAAATCTCCAAAGGTGGCTCAGCAGTTGAGAGCCCTTGCTGTTCTTGCAGAGGGCCCAAGTTTGGTTTCTAGCACCTACATGGCAGTTAATAACTGTCTGTATCTCCAGGTCCAGGGATTCCAACACTCTCTTCTGGCCTCCACAGGCATTATACACATAAAATAAAAATTGTGAAGTAAAACTAATTTCCAATTCTGCTTCATCACATCAGCTAGACCTGAAATTCTTTTCTGTGTGAAAGCCATGAATCCCAGTCAAAACATCACTGAATTGTGGCCTGAACCTTAGGATACAAAGTGTTATTGTTGGGGCTGGAGAGATGGCTCAGCGGTTAAGAACACTGGTTGTTCTTGCAGAAGATCCAGGTTTGAATCCCAGCACCCACATGCAGCTAACAACCGTGTGTAACTCCAGTTCCAGGGGATCCAACAGCCTCTTCTGTCCTCCAAGAGCACTACAGGACATGGGTGCACTTACCTACATGCAGGCAATATACGCATACACATATAATAAAAATAAAAATATATTTAAAAAAACAAAGTGTTACCATCATAGGGACTCTCTGGGTGAGATCTATCCCTTTGGGGGAAGTTTTTGTTGGGTTTTGTCTGTGTGGTTGTTTGTCTGAGACAGGGTCTCATGTAGCCCAGGCTGGCCCAGAATTGCTGATCCTACCTGCCTCCCATTCCTTAAGCTGCATTTGGCCAGACTGAGAAAAGTAGCTAGTACAGGATGTTGGTACCAGGACAAGCTTGGCCACTTGGACTGTAGACCTTTGAAACAGATTTGTGGGAGAAGGTGGATGTTTAGTGCTATGGCTAAAGAAATCCTAGAGCTCTGTCAACAAAGCTTAACAGGCCATTCCAGTGGGAATTTGAAATGCCAAGAGACGTGCAAAATGGAGACCAGGTGTCAGAGGGGACAGAACTTTATTGAGAATTGGGCCACTAGGGGCCACTTGTGTTTCGTTCAGGCTAGAAATCTGGCTGCATTCTAAAATGTGATGAGTCTAGATTCAAAAATAATGGACTAAGTTCATTATTTCATGGAGGAAATTTCAAGACAGTCCAATATCCAGGCTGTGGTGTGGTTATTGCTCACTGTGTGTATTAAGGACTTTGTTTTGTTTTTTTGAGACAGCATCCTATAGCCCCACCAGGCTGGTCCTGGTCTCACAGAGCCCCACCTCCTCCTGCTGGTCCTGGTCTCACAGAGCCCCACTTCCTGCTGGTCCTGGTCTCACAGAGCACCTCCTCCTGCTGGTCCTGGTCTCAGAGCCCCGCCTCCTGCTGGTCCTGGTCTCACAGAGCCCCGCCTCCTCCTGCTGGTCCTGGTCTCACAGAGCCCCGCCTCCTCCTGCTGGTCCTGGTCTCACAGAGCCCCGCCTCCTCCTGCTGGTCCTGGTCTCACAGAGCCCCGCCTCCTCCTGCTGGTCCTGGTCTCACAGAGCCCCACCTCCTGCCTCCTGAATGCTGGGGTAAAGGTGTCCACTGCGCCTGGTTGTTCTGCCCTTTTGTTCTTGTTGCTTTGTTTTGGAGGCAGGAGCTCCTGTAGCCCAGGATAACACAAGCCTTACAATATAGCCAATCCTGCTGGTCCTGGTCTCACAGAGCCCCACCTCCTGCCTCCTGAATGCTGGGGTAAAGGTGTCCACTGCGCCTGGTTGTTCTGCCCTTTTGTTCTTGTTGCTTTGTTTTGGAGGCAGGAGCTCCTGTAGCCCAGGATAACACAAGCCTTACTATATAGCCAAGGATGACCTTGAATACCTGATCCTCCTGCCACCACATCCCAAGTGCTGGCATGACAGATGTTTCACCATACCCAATTATTTTTATTGTTTCTATTGTTTTGGGGGTTGTTGTTGTTGTTACTGCTGCTGTGGTTTTGAGGCAGGGTCTCCTTGTAGCCCCAGATGGCCTGGAACTTGCTCTGTAGGCCAGGCTGGCCTCCATCTCACAGACCATACCTGGCTATATTGTGGGTTTTGAGACAGGATCTTACTCTTTAGCCCAGGCCAGCCCCCAACTCATGGGACTCTTCCTGCCTCGACATCCTGAGTACTGGGATGACAGGTGTGAGCCACCATGCCCAGCCTACAAGCTGAGGATGACGGTGCATCAGGGAGGCTGAAGCAGGAACAGCGCCTATGTCATGGGGTCAGAGGCCATCTGGATCATGCAGTGAGAGGAACTAAAAAAGAGAAAGGAGGTTGGACGTGGGGGCACATGCCTTTAATCTCAGCACTCAGAGAGGCAGAGACAGGTGGATCTCTGTAAGATCAAGGCCAATCTGGTCTACATAGAGTTTCAGACCAGCTGGGGCTACAAGGAGGCCCTGTCTCAAAAAGACCAGAAAGGAAGGGAAGGAGGAAGGGAGGGACGGAGGGAGGGAGGAGGAAGGAGGAAGGGAGGGAGGGATGGAGGGAGGGAGGGACGGAGGAATGGAGGGAGGAAGGAGGAAGGGAGGGACGGAGGGAGGGACAGAGGGAGGGAGGGAGGAGGGAGGAAGGAGGGAGGGAGGGAGGGAGGGACAGAGGGAGGGAGGGAGGAAGGAGAAAGGGAGGGATGGAGGGAGGGAGGAAGGGATGGAGGGATGGACGGAGGGACGGACGGAGGGAGGGAAGGGACGATGGCGAGTCAGTCACTGTAACACAAGAACACTCACCTTACATCTGATTGACTTCTTGTTTGAGTGATACTGATTCTTGAAATATAAAATAACATGAACTTTCTTGATATCAAATCCACAAATATCAGGTCCTAAAGAAAAAAAAAACAGTCAGTGTTCTCAATTTTCTTCTGAAGTGAATCAGTGTACTCACACCCACCCCAAGCTTGCTCCCTAAATCCTCAGGTGCAGGAACTCACATGTTCAGCTCCAGCTGTCCCTGGGGCACACTGACGTGATAGAGACCAACTTGTTCCTGCCAGATCACTTCTCTGGCCAACAAAGTCATCTTGTGATGACTTTGAGTCAGCACACAAGAAAACAAGGTCTAGCTGGGCAGAGTGGTGCATGGCCAGCACTCCCAGCACTGAGGATGCTGACAGGAGGATCATCCGCCCCAGGACAGCCTGGGCTACATACAGAGATTCTGTCTTAAAAAACAAAACAATGTGGGCTGGAGAGATGGCTCAGCAGTTAGGAATGCTGTTCTTGCAGAGGACCCGGGTTCAATTCCCAGCACCCACATGGCAACTAACAACTGTCAGTAATTCTAGTCCCAGGGGATCTGACAGCCTCTTTGTCCTCCGAGGGCATTGCACGACACGGGTGCACCTACATGTGGCAATACACTCATACACATAAAATAATAAATAAAATATTTTAAAAAAACAATGGGCTGGCAAGAGGGTGAAGCTAGATGACCTGAGTTTGATCCATAGAACTCACATGATCAAAGGAGAGAACTGACTCCCAAAAGTTGTCTTCTGACCGCCACAGGTATGCCATGGCACATGCATGCCTCACAAATGCACAAATAATACTAGGCGTGGTGATGCACGCCTTTAATCCCAGCACTGGGGAGGCAGAGGCAGGCAGATCTTTGTGAGTTCAAGGCCAGCCTGGTCTACAAGAGAAACAAACAAACAAACAAAGCACAAATAAGTTTTTTTGTTCTTTTTGAGACAAGGTCTCTCTATAGCCCCATCTGGCATGAAACTGAGATCCACCTGTCTCTGCCTCCCAAGTGCTGGGATTAAGCCACCACACCTGGCACAAATAATTTTTTTAAGGTTTAGTTTATTTTTATTTATGTGTCTGTGTACATATAAGTCAAATGCCCACAGTGGTAGAAGAGGGCTCAGACCCCTCAGAGCTGGAGTTACAAATGGTTGTGAGCTGCCTAGTAGAGGCGCTGAGAACCAAACACAGGTCCTCTGCAAGAGCTTTTTTCTTTCTTTTTTTTTTTTTTGGTCTTTTTGCGACAGGGTCTCCCTGCAGCCCCAGCTGTCCTGGAACTCACTATGTTGACCAGGCTGGCCTTAAACTCACTGAGATCCGCCTGCCTCTGCCTCCCAAGTGCTGGGACTAAAGGCGTGTGCTACCACGCCTGGTGCAGCAAGTGCTCTTGAACACTGAGCCATCTCTCCAGCCCCATAATAAAAAAAATCTTAATGAGAAGCAAATAAACCCAGAAAAGCACAGAAAAGGCATTTTGTATTTCCCCTTTCTGTAGTACTGGGAAGAGAACACAGTGGCTTCACATACGCTAAGCAAATGCCCTACCATCTGAGCCACACCTCCAGCACAAACGATTTTTACTATTTTGTTTCAGAGTGTGCAATGTGTGTATGTGTGTGTTGCACATACGTGAGCACGTACGTGCCTCCACGCCCACATGCAGAGGCCATTGGAAGGACTCTGGGTGTCCTACTATATTGCTCTCCATTTCGTTCCCTTGAGACAGGATCTGTCACTGAACTGGAAGCTTCTCCTTTCAGCAAGGGACCTGGCCTGACAGCGTTCTCAGGATCACCTGTCTCCGCCCCCCAATGCTGGGCAGTCTGCACACATAATCACGTAGAGCTTTTTATCTGGCTTCTGGGGATTTGAACTAAAGTGCTCTTACTTAATGAGCCATCTCCCCAGCCCTTATCCTACTTTTTAAATTTTTGAGGTTTTCAGACAGGGTGTCATTGTAGCCCAGGCTGGCCTGGAAGTCTATGCAGTTGAGGATGACCTTGAACTCCTGATCCTCTTGCCTCTACCTCCAAAGTGCTGGGATGACAGGTGTGTGCCATCATATCCAGTTTATGTGATACTGGGGACAGAGCCCAGGCCTTCGTGCATGCTATACAAGCGCTCTACCCACTGACACACTGAGCCCTCCCCCCAGCCCATACTTTAAATCTTTTAAACTTCAGAACATTCCAAAAAATGACCAGAAAGTTTGTACAATTTCCAAGACAGTAAAAAAAATTCAGATATGCAATTGTAGACAGAGGCTTTCCAAGCTAGGCATCGTAGTGTACACCTGTCATCCCAGCTCTTAGGAGATGGAGGCAGGAGGAACAGAAATTCAAGGTCAGCCTGGATTACTTGACAACATTTTCAAAAAAACAAGGGATGGTAAGCCAGGTATAGTGGCACATCCCTTTAATCCCAGCACTCAGGAGGCAGAGGCAGGTAGATGTCTGTGAGTTCAAGCCCAGCCAGGTCTACATAGCAAGTTTCAGGCCAGCCAGAGTTATGTAGTAAGACCCTGTCTAAAAAACCAAACTAAGAAAAACAGGGGATAGAGGTCTGGAGAGATGACTCAGTGTGTAAGAGCTCTTGTTGCACAAGCACAAGGACCTGAGTTCAAATGCCAGCACCCATGTAAAATGCACCCATGTGACTATGTGAATATAAATGTAACCCCAGTACTGCGAGGAGCAGGGACAGGAGGATGGCTGGGGTGTTCTGTCTCAAGGGAATCTGGTGGAGAGGGTTAGAGCAGGACACTGATGTCCCCCTCTGGCCTCCATTCATACACAGGCACATGTACCCTCATAATATGTGCATACACACACACACAGAGGCATACATACACCCTAGGATTGGGATGTGGCTCATCTGGTACAATGCTTGCCCAGCATGCAGGAAGGTCTGAGCTTTGCCCTTCTATCCCCAGCACTACATACATAAGCCAGCTGTGAGGCCATAAACCTGTCATCTCAACACAGAGGAGGTAGAACAAGCTTCAAGGCCAGATAGTGAGTTTGAGACCAGCCTGAGTTACATGAGACCTTGCTTCAAAAAACAAAAAAGAGGGCTGGAGAGATGGCTCAGCGATTAAGAGCACTGACTGCTCTTGCAGAGGACCCGGGTTCGATTCCCAGCACCCACATGGCAACTACGAACCATCCTTAACTCCAGTTCCAGGGGAATCCAAAGCCCTCTTCTGACCTCTGCAGCACTGCACAACACGGGTGCACTCACATACATGCAGGCAATACACTCATACACATAAAATAAAAATAATAATTTTTTTTGTCATTTTGAAGCAGGGTCTCCCCATAGCCCCAGCCATCCTGGAACTCACTACGTAGACCAGGTTGGCCTTGAACTCACAGAGATCCACCTGCCTCTGCTTCCCAAGTGCTGGGACTACAGGCCTGTGCCACCACGCCCAGCTAAATAAAATATTTTTAAAAAAACAAAAAAGAGCCAGGCATGGTGGCGCATGCCTTTAATCCCAGCACTCAGAGGCAGGCAGATCTCTGTGAGTTTGAGGCCAGCCTGGTCTACATAGCGAGTTCAAGGCCAGCTGGGGCTACAGGGAGACCCTGTCTCAAAAGGACCAAAAAAAAAAAAAAAAAAAAGACTGGGGAGAGATGGCTCAGTGGTTAAGAGCACTGATTGCTCTTGCAGACAACCCAGGTTTGAATCCCAGCACCCACATGGTGGCTAACAACTGTTAACTCCAGTTCCAGGGGATCCAACGCCATCTTCTGACCTCCTCGGGCATTGCACAACACAGGTGCACTTACATACATGTAAGCAATAAATTCATACACATTTAAAAAATAATATTTTTTTAAAAAAGACAAACAGACTGAAGAGATGGCTCAGTGGTTAAGAACACTGACTGTTCTTGTAGAAAACCCTGGTTTGAATCCCAGCACCCACATGGCAGCTAACAACTGTCCATAATTCCAGTTCCAGGGGATCCAACAGCCTCTTCTGTCCTCTGCCAGCACTGCACGACATGGATGCACTTACCTACATGCAGGCAATATATGCATACACATAAAATAAAAATGATAAAATATAAAAAATAAATTAATAAATAGAAGACAAAAACTAAATAAACTGAGTAGTAGTATGTGTAACAAAAGCCAAGAAAAAGGCTATCACCTATGAATAGACACTCTTCGTACTTCTCCAGTTCTGACTGTGGGTTGCAGCAGGTAGCTCAGTGGTAAAGCCCTATGTCTGTCATGCTCAAGGCCCTGGGTCCCAGCCTCAATGTTGCAAAGCTAACAACAATGAACAAGTTAAACTCTAGTTCTTCTCTTAAAACCAGGATCTTTTATTGCCTGTGTTTTATTTTTTCATGTTTTTCAGTTTTTTTGAGGTACAGTCTCACAGAGTCCAGGCTGGCTTCAATCCCACCATGTAGATGAGGATGATCTTTAATTCCTGATCATTCTGCTTTTCACCTCCCCAGTGCTGGGAATTATAGGTGTGAGCCACCATTCCCCGTTTAGCAGATAAAAGAATTTTAATGACATTTATGTATTGTGTGGAGAGGGCTCATGTGTGAATGAGCAGATGTGGAGGTCGGACAATAACTTGTGAGAGTAGGTTCACTCCTTCTACCACGTGGGACCTGGACTCATACACATAAAATAAAAATAACAATAAATTAAAAAAAATTTTTAAGCCAGGCATGGTGACGCATGTCTGTAGTCCTAGCACTTGGGAGGCAGAGGCAGGTGGATCTCTGTGAGTTCAAGGCTAGCCTGGTTAACATAGTGAGTTTCAGGACGGCTGGGGCCATAGGGAGACCCTGCTTCAAAAAGACCAAAAAAAAATTTTTTTAAAGCAAACAAAACACACACACACACACACACACACACACACACACACACACACACATAGGTTCACAGGTTCTAGGACTGGAAAGCTGGCTCAGTGGTTAAGAGCACTTACTGCTCTTGCAGAGCACCCAAGTTCAGTTCTTGGCAGCCACATCCAGTGGCTCACAATACCCTGGAACTGCAGCTCCAGGGGATCTGATGTCCTCTTCCGGGCTCTGAGAGCATCTACATGCACATGGTGCATATAAACTTCCACAAGCACATACATAAAAGATAAATAAAATAATAAACCTTTTTTTTGAAGCCAGATTCAGATTTCAGAGGCTTTTGGCTTTTTGCTCGTTAGAACTGGAAATGCCAGCCTGCGCTGCTTGGGTTTAACAGTGGTAGATATGTTCTCTACTACTATGTTGGTGAGCCTCAGCTAGAAGGCAGAAATGATTCCCTCTCCCTGTCTAAACTCACCAAACATGATATAGTACTGCGATTTTCCATTCATATTCTTCTGATCCAGGTCTGAAGGGAAGACCTTGATGTAGCCCCCGCCACAGTCCATCTTCTGTTCATGTTTCACAGTGTACTGGACGACCAGGGTCTTCCCTTTGTTACTGAACGGCTTGAACTTTGCAGAGATGGCGTAGAAGCGGCTGTTCTGTGTTGTCTGCAGGCCTTCCAACAGAAAGCATTCAGAGAGATTCAGTACAGCACTGTGCTCTGTAAAGCTCAGAGAGATTCAGTACAGCACTGTGCTCTGTAAAGCTCAGAGAGATTCAGTACAGCACTGTGCTCTGTAAAGCTCGGGGACCTCCAACAACAGAGACCCTGTAGACACTGACACTGCCCCCAGGACAGACACATAGCATGCCACACACCACTAACAAGCCCTCTACTCCCACAGAACCTGTTTCCCACTCTTGGATGTTTTGATACTTAAGACACACCCCCTGCTAGTGCCAGTGAGATGGCTCATCCAGTAAAGGAGTTTGTCTCTAAGTCTGACAACTTGAGTTCAATTCTTGGGACTCACATGGTGGACAGAGAAAGCTAATTCTGGCAGGTTGCCCTCTGAGCTCCACATGTAAGCTGTGTCATGCACATACATATCATGCACACACAATAATAATTAATTTCTAAAAAGACAGCCCTGGCTGGGTGTGGTGGCACACGCCTTTAATCCCAGGCGGATCTCTGTGAGTTTGAGGCCAGCCTGGTCTCCATAGCGAATCCAGGCCAGCTTCGGCCACAGGGAGACCCTGTCTCAAAAAGACCAAAAAAAGCCCAAACAAACAAACAAACAAAAAACAGCAACAACAACAAGACAGCCCTTACTACTGGAAGTAAATCAAACCCAGGGCCTTGCACATGCTCAGAACTGGCTCTCCCACCTGGTCCCACCATTGAAATACTTTAAGTTACAGAAATGCCTGGCTGGGGCTGGGGCTGGGGCTGAGTGGGTAGAGTGCTTGCCTAGCATGCATGAGGCCCAGGGTTTGAATTCCAGCACTGCAGAAACATGCACACTGTCAGCCTAGCACTCAGAATGTATGTACAGGATGATCAGGTATACCCTGTCTTCCACAACAGGCTGGTGAGATGGCTCAGCAGGTAAAGGCAGCTGCCACCAAGTCTGAATTTAATCCTCAAGACCTACATGGTGGAAGGAGAGAGTCAACTCCCACAAGCTGTCCTCTGACTTCCACAGGGGTGTCGTGGCTTGCACACAAACAAATAAATAAACAAAAATTAAAGAAAACAAAAAAGCAGAGGCTGGGGAGACATCTCCGAGTAACAGCACTTGCTGAAGGAGCATGAGGAACTGAGTTCTAATCCCCAGTGCCCATGTGGAAAAGCTGGGTGTGGCCAAGCGCCTCTGACCCCAGCACTGACCGGGCAGAGACAGGATGACCAGGATGACACTGGGCCTTGCTAATAACCACCCTGGCTCCAGGTTCACTGAGGGACTCTGTCCCAAAGAAATAAAGGCAGAGTGATAGAGCAGGGTACTAATGTCTTCCTCTGGCCTCTGTAAGGCCTCTGTAGGTACATTACCTGTAAACATATGTACAGATGATACATACACACACACACACACACACACACACACACAAAACCACTTCAACCGTGAGAACTCTAAATGATAAATTCGAGTCTAATTGTGTGTAGGAGGTTATACCATGAAGCCTGTGCAACCAGTGAGTAAAAATGAAACATGCTACTCTTTTTTGAGACAGGGTCAGGCTGGCTGAAACTCCCTCCATAGATGAGGGTGAACTTGAGTTCTTGATTCTCCTGCCTCCACCTGCTGAGAGATGGGATGACAGGCAAGCACCACAATGGCCAGCTCCAAACGTATCACCTGAAGACAGTGTAAATGGTCATGCGTACCACACATCTGTCATTCTAGCACCCGAGAGGCTACTGCACAATGATGATGAACTCCAGGCCAGCCTGGGCTACACAGTGAGACTCTGTCTTCAAGGAAACAAAACCAACTACCAACCAAAGAACCCCCAACTCCCTCAAAAGAAACTCAGTATTTTCTTTTAAATTTTAATTTTAGAAATCAAATTTATTCCTGGGCATGGTTTTATATGCCTTTAATCCCAGCACTTGGGAGGCAGAGGCAGGCAGATCTCTGAGTTCAAGGCCAGCCTGGTCTACATGCCAGCTGGTTACAGGGAGACCCTGTCTCAAATATATATATTTATTTTGTATATTTCATGGCACATATGTGGAGGTCAGAGGACAACTTGTGGAACTATGCCCTCTCCTCCACCATCTTAGGGCTCAGACATGGTGTTTTCCAGTCATGTTTTTAAGCCCAGCTCCAGGCTGGCTCCCCTTCCTTTTCTGGAGGCACTTGGAGCCCCATCTCATCCCCACAAGCAGGCAATCTGGGGGCCATGTGATCCCACACCCTTGTGTCTAGGCACCGTGTTCTCCATCACACCCCATCTGTCTAGGTTCCGCTCATCATTCCATCTGTGACTAACTCACGGTCCCAGGAAGCCCAGACTCTCCAGAGTCCTCTCACCAGCCTGTTTGCTCTGATCCTACACTCAGGTGGGGATGAATGAGAAGCAGAGAGGAAGGGGTGTCACAGTGGGGAGAGAGCCGCCCACCCCATGGCTAGTTCTTGCGGGATTAATTCATGCAATTGTCTGCTCATTTCAGGTGGCTGGAGGTATTTGATTTTGCTCTTTAAAATTATTTTATATCATTGTTTCTTTTTTTTTGAGACAGGGTTTCCAGGCTGGCCTGTAACTCACGATGAAGACAGGCCTGCCTCTGCCTCCTGAGTGCTGGGATTAAAGGTGTGTATCACCACACCAGTCCCAGTCAATATTATTTTGTCATAAATATTTTGAGTCTCACACTGCAGCTTCAAATTTGAGGTAATCTCCTGCTTCAGCTTCCGAGGTGCTGGGATTACAGGTATGAGCTAACCCTCCCCAGCGTGTGTGTGTGTGTGTGTGTGTGTGTGTGTGTGTGTGTTACTGTTTGTGGTGAGGGCTTTTCCACAAAGTGTGTGTGGCAGGCAAAGGAAAACTCTGTGGAGTAGGTGCTCTCCTTCCATGATGTGGGTTGGGGATCAAAACTCAGGTTGTCAGGCTTGTGCAGCAATTCCCTTTACCCGCTAAGCCCTCTTGCCAGCCCTCTACGTACTGTTGAGAGGGTCTCTCACTGAACCCGGAGCTCACTGATTGGGCTAGACTGTCTGGCCAGAGAGCTCCAGGGATCTTCCAATCTGTCTTTCCAGCACTGGACTCACAGGCATACTTTGTACCCAAAACTTTGCATGTGTGTATGAGACTTTTTTTTTTTTTTTGGTCTTTTTGAGACAGGGTCTCCCTGTAGCCCCAGCTGTCCTGGAACTTACTATGTAGACCAGGCTGGCCTCAAATTCACAAAAACCCACCTGCCTCTGCCTCCCAAGTGATGGGATTAAAGGCGTGTGCCACCACACCCAGCCCAAGACTTTTTTTATTACATTTTAAAATTTATCTTGTGTGCATGAGTGTATGTATGTATGGTCATGCCTGATGACCTGAGTTCAATCCCAGGAAACCACATGGTAGAAAAAGAACCAACTCCTAAAGCTGTCCTCTGACCTGCACATGTGTGTTATGGCATATGTATGCCCATACATATGTATATATGCACATACACAAATAAATGTAATAAAATTTTTTAACTTTTCTTTTTTAAAATGTTTTATTATTTTTATTTTATGTGTATGTGTGTATTGCCTGCATGTAGGTAAGTGCACCCGTGTCATGCAATGCCTGTGGAGGACAGAAGAGGCTGTCAGATGCCCTGGAACTGGAGTTATGGACAGTTGTTAGCTGCAATGTGGGTGCTAGGATTTGAACCTGGGTCTTCTGAATAAAAAATTTTTAAACCACACACTCACACATGCACACAGGTATACACACATGTACACAAACCAACAACAAAAAACAGATTATAAAGATTTTTCTGTAAAGCCACATGGTGGATATTTTTTAACTTTTTGATTTATCTATTTATTATTACTATTATTATTATTATTTGGTCTTTTTTAAACAGGGTCTCTCTGTAGCCCCAGCTGGCCTGAAACTCACTATGTAGACCCCCAGACTGGCCTTGAACTCACAGAGCTCTGCCTGCTTCTGCCTCCTAAGTGCTGGGACTACAGGCATGTGCCACCACCCCCAGCTTTTTTTTTTTCGGTCTTTTTGAGACAGGCTCTCCCTGTAGCCCCAGTTGGTCTGGAACTCGCTATTTAGACCAGGCTGGCCTCGGACTCACAGAGATGCGCCTGCCTCTGCCTCCCAAGTGCTGGGACTAAAGGTGTGTGCCACATGCCTGGCTTAATTGACCTATTTTATTTATGTATATGAGTGTTTTGCCTGCATGTATGTAAGTGCACCTATGCATGCAATACCCATAGGGACCAGAAGAGGGCACCAGATCCCCTGGAACTGGAGTTACACAAGGGTGTTGGCCACCATGTAGGTGCTGGGAATCAAACTCAGGTCCTCTGCAAGAGCCGTCAGTGCTAACCACTGAGCCATCTCTCAACCTCCAATTTTGTTTTTGAGAAAGTCTCACATATCTCAGGCTGTCCTGAAACTCACTATTTAAGTGAGGATGACCTTGAACTTCTGATCCTTGAACTCCTGATCCTCCAGTTTTCACCTCCTGAGTGCTGGGATGACAGGTGTGAGCCACCACACCTGGTTTATGTGGTGCTGGAGATGGAACCAGGGCCTCATGCTGGCTAGGCAAACACTCTACCATCTGAGCCCCAAGCCCAGCCCTAGATGGTGGATTTTTTTTTTTTTTTTTTTTTTTTTTCTTTTTTTGACA